ATGATAGCTTTCTACAAATGTAAAAAAAGGCACAAATTAGATCAATCATATTACTTGGGAACTCATTTTTCTCAAGTAACAAGAAATCCGTAGGTGAAAAGTTCATAACTGATAACATCAATGACCTAAGCTCTTTCTGTAGTTCTACTCTGTCATCTTTCCTCAGGTTTGCAGTAAGAGTGCTTTATGTCCAGGCATCATATCACAGGAAGGGCAAAGGGCCATAGCAACATTGTCTGACGTATTTTTTATAGGGAAAGTAAAAGCTTTGCCAGAAACCCCCTTAGCAAACATCTGCCAACATCTCATTTGCTAGAATTCTGTCATAGGCTATTCTAAGTTGCAAAGAAGTCTGGGAAATCTAATGTCTTGCTTCTATAGCAGTGAAAAGCAAGGTGGAGCTAGGACTATATTGAGTGAGCTAAGGCTATAACTCAACAGCCATAGAACATGAAAACATAATATTGAGGGGAGAAAATGAGAGGGAGAGAGAGACAGATTGAGAAGTAGAAAGAAGTGGGAAGTACAATATTGTTTGTGTAAATTAAAAAATTCATGCACACAAAAGGCCACATATCATTGTAAAGATACATATCATATGTAAAAAAAAGTTAAAGAAAGTTGGTTGGAAAGATACCCATAAACTACTACAGATTGGATGCCTGTGGGAAGGGAGGAAGGAAATGGAACTGAGGCTGAGGGATACAGAATATGATTACAAAAATTAAAATAAAACAGGCTTTTCACAGACCAGTTCCATCAGCTGAACTTTAATGGAGGAGCATGATTGACTGTGTCAATCTAATTCTTTGTACTCAAGACCCAGGGAGAAAAAAGCTGGAATGAGCTGGGTCATGTGTGTGGGTTACCCAGATAGTTGGACAGGGTTATTATTTAGAGTTAAAAAAATGTGATTCATTATGTTAACAGCTGAGTTTAATTATTTTTCTTTACTTTGTGATAGGCTCCCTTCTTTTCGGTACAATTGAAGGCCTGATAGGAATGATGTTATAGTTTAAGTTTAGTGATGATAGCAGTTATTTTTTGGACAATTTAGGGATAAGTTTTGAAAAACGGATTTTCTTTGTGTTTGTATGTATATATCTTGTGCTTCATAATGGAAAATTAGCAGAGTTGACTTTTACAGAGTCAGTGGGGACATGAGTAAAATAAACATGGCTACTTGGTAGTGAAATCCATCACGTTCTAGGTTTCTGTTATTAACTTTGGAAACAGAGAGTGGGAGAAAGGATTTCCTTCCTCTCTCTCTAATATAGCCTCAGTGACTGACTGGCTCTCTGCTCTGGAATGAGGCAGGTTGGCACAACTCCATAAGTCTTACGTGGGAACAAGGCACCAGTGGTTTCTATTTTTTTGCTTCCTGTAAACATTCTTTTGCTTTTGGTTTCATATTCTATTCATATTCTATCTTTAAACCATCCCATACTAAATCTGCTAAATAAACATATACAATTTATTAATATGTATTAGTATGTCTTCCATTTATTAAGCATTCGTCATGACTTTGTAAGCAGCTCTTAAGCTCTTCCATTTTAGGACCATGATTCCTTGTTACCTAATTACAAATTATTATCATGGACGAAGTAGAACTTCCCTTGGTGAAATGGATTCAATTTGCTAAATAAAAATGCGTGAACTTAATGGCTTTTCACCAATTTTTAAATCAGATGGACAATCTGTTTGCTTTCACCACAGCCTTCTAAAATTCAATGGCATTTGAATTTGGGAAAGTAGAATTCTACAAAGAGAAACTTATCTTTTCACAAAATAACAGTAATTGATTAATGAATTTTTCAACACTGTAATTAGCACTCCATTAGATTCTATGAGTAATTTTATAAGTAATTAATTATCATAACAACTTTATAGGTCTCATTTCACGTGAAGAAAGCAAGGTAAATGGGAGTCAGTGTTGACGAGGCCAAGCAGAGTAAAGCAGAGCTTGAATTTGAACCAATTCTTTCTTGCCTTTCTGCCTGTTCTTTTCATAACTTCCCTTCTCTTCCTACCCTTAACGGGTAACTCATTTTGCTAAATACTATGCTTGGCGCCTTATCTCCCTCTACTCTCAGTCTTGGAAAAGCTCTTCTAGTCTTATTGTTTAAGGTGTAACAAAGATGCATAGTTACCATATCTTGATTTTTCTCCTGAGCTTCAGGATTCTGAATTTCCGGCTGCCCATGGGACATAACTCATTTGCACATACCACTCATACCTCAAACTCATCATGCTTAATGTAGTCAGAGAGTTTGGTCTAGACTTGCTCACTGATGTGAATATTATGTTATGAGCCCACTGCAATGGCTTAGGGAGGTAATAAGTTGTTTTCAGGATAAAATGAAATCTATAAAAAGTATTGAAAATTCAAATAGAGCATAAAATAATATGGAGGCATTTTTACTAAAAGTAAAAAGGATTATTTTAAATACGTAGTGTCTTTTCACTAGTCATTCAGTCTCCCCTCCTTTCAAAGCATTATTGTTTAAAAGTTTTGGTTTTTTTTTTTGCCACAAATATAATAGATACTAACAAGGCCTTTAGATGTAGATTCGTAAGGCACCTGAAGAGAACTAAAAATCATTGAATGATACTTAGTTCAGGAGTGCCTCTGTCAGGAATCAAACTCAGGGTTGACAAGTAAGTGGAATTAAATGGTTAGATGAAAACAGAAAAAAATATTAGCCATATGTGTATTCTACAATGTGTGGATGATTGGCAAAAAGGATAAGGAAATTACTGGCAAAACAGACTTTTCAGTTTCCTTCTGCATGCTTATCTTATAAGTTAACTCAAGAAATAATTCTAAGTATTTCTTTAATATTATAGAGAATATATCAGTTTAGAAAATTAAAGTTATGAAATTTTATGATAGAATCAGTAACAGTTGAAGAGATGTTATACTTTATTTCCAAATGTAAAATACGATTTTTACATGGCCACCTAATTAGTTGTTATATAAGGAAAGAAACTGCCATATTCAGATATTAAAAATGATTTTGCAGAGTAAAGAACCCAAAACTTGCTTTCATTATACGAAATAGAATTCTCTTCTAAAGAAGCTATAATTTCCTATTTTGAATCACAACTGAGGAAGAGAATGATTATTTCTTTTCTCCTTGGAAAATTTAATGCTTTAGTATAAAGGCTATGTCATTAGTGCAAGTCTGGGAGCATGAAAAGAGAGATCACTCTGAGCCTTTAGATCTGTTTAATTATTGCCATAGTTAACAATAAACTTGATGTGTGTGATAATGGCTTTAGAGAAACATGGAAAATTATTATCTTCAGTTAAGATGAATTTGAGGTAGTTAATGATTTTAGCTAATTATAGTAAAATCTTTATTTTTAGAGTAAATCAGGCAAATCAATGTTCATGATTTTTCAAACTGAAGTGGGTGTTAAGTTGTAAAATAAAGAATTTGTAGCTTGTATGAGGACTTTGTTAGTTATAACATTGTATGCTCATGAGAAATATTGTAATACTGTGATAACAGGAAACATAGCTTCTAAAATTAGCCTGTAATATATAATGGATGATTAGCAAATGTTAAACAGAGCAATAAGAAAAGATTACACAATTTACAAATGTCATGTAATTTTGAAGAGAAATTTTGTTTTATAGTGCAGTTTTTTTTTTTTAATTTGTTTTTTGAATTTTCTAATGGGGCTTGGAGTGCTTATGTAGAGTTTTGTCTGCTGGTAATTTTTGTCCCAGGAAACCTAGGGTTATGGAAAGTCATTCTAATAGTTGAACCCACTTCTGCTACTTCTTAGCCTTGTAGTTATTTTCTTACAGTACCATGAGGATGCATCTCATTGAGCCGATAGAGGAGGAAATAATGGTAGACTTTGTCACAGATGAGAAGTATTAAACACTAATATAGGTTCTATAAGTCAAATTTATATGGACAAAATAAAATGAGATATTTCTAAACACATTTAATAAGGAAAGCTGAGATGGTATGCCCCAGTTCTGAGTTCAAGTATAAAAATAAATGTGGTTGGACTCAATACTGTAGCTTTTCTGAATCAAATGATACCCTCTGCTGGCTAAATGAGGGATTGTATTTAAAAACTACTACATAAAAAATAAACAAGTTTCTACTGTATAGCACAGGGAACTATATTCAATATCTTGTAGTAACCTATAATGAAAAAGAATATGAAAAGGGATGTATGTGTGTACATGTGTGACTGAAACATGCTGTACACCAGAAATTGATTCAATATTGTAAAGTGACTATACGTCAATAAAAAATAAAAAATTAATACAATGGGCTGATTGTTGTATAAAAGGATTGAGCAGTACAAAATATTGTAGAAAAATATAGGGAAAATTATAAATGTGAAGAATGAAGCCAATGTATCACTTAAAGAAATATTTTTCCAATTGAAACTGATATAGAAATACCCCAAATTGAAATTTCCTAACCTAATGATCTATTTTTTAACCATGGTCATAGGGAAGAAACACAGCAGGGGCAAAAAACCAAGATCTCCTGCCCCCATCTTCAATAACAATTCTAAATAATCCAAGCTATTTAAATTACATTTATTAGTTAAATTACTGTTGTAGGGGTAATTAGCAAATATCTAGAGGTAAGATAAGAACTATTTTTCTCTAGCTACCCTGACCTAATTTCTGTTAGGAATAATTGGAATATTCTTAAGTAATTTAGAAGTTTGATACCTTCTGGGAAGTATCATATAGCATGTCAATTAAAAATTTTTTCTACTTTTTAAGTTCTTAAAGCCACTTTGGAATTTACAGTGTTTGGAGCATATAATGCACATGAAATTTATGTTTAAAAGCATATATTGGACAATTTGTCATATTTCATACAAAGTTGAAAAATGTAATTTCAAGACTGATTCTGTTTGATGTCGCCTTTCACTGGCATGTTGCTTTAAGGGCACCCATCCCCCTTTCTTGCTTGAGCCACTGTGTCCTGTCAGTCATTCTGAAATACACTAGGGTGCTTGTCAGGCTGTTTGCTTACAGATGCATTATAAGCCAAATTGTGAGCCATAATAGTGGCACTGAATTTCTAAACACAAGAAATTACTTAGACAATTGGTTTAGTATCTGTATATGGGCAATACTCTGTCCTGCAGTAGGTGAGTGAAGTGTCAAACTTTTTCAAATCAAACTTTGCAATAAGGCAAATCCTAATTGTAGATTATTTGTTGCTTGGTTAGATAACTTTGGGGGAAATTAAAGGACATTATTTTTTATAGAAATGGGATGAATAGAAGCTACTATGTTGTGCATTTATTACTTCATAACTAATTTTCCTTTTCATAACACTAAACTCTATGAAAGCTCCACTTTTATAAATATCTACTTTTCCTACTCGATTAGCAGGCCTTTCAGTTTTAGATAACAATGTAATTCTCTTACATGCTTTTTCTTTCACAACAACTCAAGCAGTTTCAGTTAAGCAGAGGCTCAGTTCTGCAATTTGAGGTATTTATTAGTGGTTTTAAAAATAGTGCTAAAACAAATTCTCATGTGCCAATGCCCAAGCTATAGTAGTCTTATATCAGAGCATTTAAAAATTCCTTTTGTGTAACTGAACTATTACTATTTGAGTAACTATATGAAAGATGCTGGAAGCTTTACATTCTTCAGATGTAAGTTACGCAGCAAGCAGTTTCTTTGTACAAACAATTTAATTTCTATTATGGGCCTCTAAACTTAAATTGTGCATGGATTCTTTTTCTGTGGGGTTTTTTTTTTGTATGCAGCCTTAAATATTTTTAAATAGAGAATTAGTAAAAGCAGAAAAATAGAAGCCTGTGGATTATGATACTTGTATATTCAGTATGGTGGAGAATAGTTTAGAGGCTGCAAGGAATTAAAGTTTTAAGACTTTTATCTAGGGTAAATGAGAAGAGATTGCTCTGCAGATTCATGAAATGATTATTTATTTATTCCTTACCTTGTTCTAGAAAGGATTTAGGGTGACTTACAAGGCTACATGAAATTCAAGAAAGGATAAATTAAAAGTGAAGTGAAAGTAGAGAGAAAAATAAGTATGAGATATAAAACAGAGCCAGTAATAAGGCTGAGCTGCAGCAGTTCTTGACTATGGTTCTATGACACTGGTATATGAGGGACTGATGAGGGAGAAAATACAGGATTATGTACAGAAATCTTATGGGAGAATTTCACGCAAACTAGCTATCTCCTTTACGAAGGGTGGCATTCCAGAGAAAGTATGTTGGGTAGTGGATATTAAATATAGTTTAAATGTCACTGATTTTTTGGTGAAAAAAAGTGGAGAACTGCTGCCCTTTTAACCCACAGACTGATTTTTGTGGGCGTAAGGGTGGCTCCAAGTTTTCTAGGAGCAGAAAAAAATTTGACTGTTACTTAATTCAGAAGAAAGATTGAAGAGGCTTAGTTGTTTGGAAGCAGCAAGAATTACCTAAATTAAGGTCTAATATCTACATATAAGAACTGACACAATCAAACTGAAGTTTAAAATGAAATATATTTGACAATTTTGTACAAATCTGTGAATCTAGTCCTGCTTTAAAATAAATTTTTTTTCCCTGAATAGATTGTTGTGAATGAGATTAGCTAATTTCCTTCCTTTCATCTTTCAATTTAGCAATAAATTTAACTTGAATTTCAACTTCTGTTAGGTCAAAATTAACTGGATCACTCTAAGTTAATTTGGAAGAAAGTTGTTGGATACTGGAGGGAATTCAGAGGCAGGACTTCTTAATGTACTTTGATCCTCAAATACTCAAAAGCCAACTGCTGTGTTGAAGACTCTAGGTCTATGCTGCACACCATGCTAAACCCGGCTTGTATAAAGGGAACAAGCTTAGAAATTCACTGCTTTCACCCAGTAGTATTGAAAAAGGACAAAAGTGTAGCAGTTAGAATTTTGCTAAGGATCTTCAGTGATATTTTCAGATATAAATTAACATGATGAGTCAGGGACAATCATTTGGCTCCTTTTGTATTTCATTGTTAAAAATAAGATCAATAAAATGATTTTTTAAATAAAGCATTATGAAAACTAAGAAAATACTCAAAGCTTTTATTTTTGTGGTTTTGTAAACACATGCAGGTTGACTTAGAGTTTTTACTAGAAAAAAATTATAATTGGATAGATAACATCAGCTGTGTGGGATGACCTGGAGGATAACCTGGACACACAGATTTGAAAACTGGGAAGCAAATATTCTTAAGAAGTTAAGTAGGATTTAGGCACCAAATAAACTGAGTGATGTACAAGAGCGGTAGGATGCTTAAGAAAAATACATTAACTTTTGAAAGCATTAGTTCAGAGATCCTAGTGAGAGATCCATCTAAAGAGTTTATAGAGCCAATGGATATCATTAAAAATTTGTAATTATGCAGTAAATGAAGTAATCTAGAAATATCTTCTATGTTATTGGGGTAAGAGGTGAACAGAAATGGTTTTTTAAAAGTCACATTTATTGAGGACAATTTTATATACATTAAACTCACTCATTTTAAGCTTACAATTTGGTGAGTTCTAACAATTATATGCTGTCATAACCACCACCATAATCAAATAGAACATTTCCATTAATCCAAAAAGTTTCCTTGTGCCCTCTGCAGTTAATTCTCTTCCTTAAACCCTCAGCCACTGACAACTACTGATCTGTTTCCTGTCCCTATATTTTTGCCCTTTCAAGAATGTCATAGAAGTGGAATCATACGGTGTGTACTTTTGTTTGACTATATCTCTTTGCATAATGCTTTTGAGAGAGGTTAATGTGGTTTCCTGTATCAACAGTTCATTTCTTTAATGTATAACGTGATGATATGATGGTATCATTGTTTATCTATTTATCTGTTGATGGAAATTCGAGTTGTTTTCAGTTTCTGAGGCCACCATGAACATTTGCATGTAGGTCTCTGTGTGGACATATGCTTTCATTTCTCTTGGGTAAATATCTAAGGAGTGGAATTGCTGGGTCATAGGGTGGGTGTATTTTAACTTTATAAGAAATTTCCAAGCTGTTTTCTAAAGTGGGTGTACCAGTTTTCATTTTCATTAGCAAATGTGTGAGATTTCCAGTTGCTTCTCATCTTTGCTAGCCCTAGTATTGACAGTCTTTTTAATTTCAGCCATTCTAGAATGTATGTAGTAGTATATATTGTGACCTTAATTTGCATTTCTCTAGTGATTTATGATGAGCATTTTTCCTGTGCTTATTGGTCATCTATATATTTTCTTTGGTGAAGAGTCTTTTCAATTTTTGCCCATTTAGAAAAACTGAGTTGTTTTTCTTTTAATTATTGATTTCTAAGGACTGTTTATATTTTCTGGATACAAATCCTTTGCAGTATATGGACTTTAAAAATACTTCATCCTAGTCTGTGGACCGCCTTTTCATTTCCTTAACATTGTCTTTCAGAGAGCAAAAGTGTTAAATTTTGTTGAAGCAGTTTATTGATTTTTTTCCCTTCTCTTGGATAATGCTTTTGGTGTTGTATCTAAGAAACCTTTGATTAAACCAAGGTTACAAAGATTTTCTCCTGTATTTTCTTTGAGAAGTTTAATACCTTTAAGGTCTTATCTTTAGCTCTGAGATCCATTTCAGGTAAATATTTGTGTATGGTGTGAGGATATGGTTAAGGTTCCTGTTTTACACATAGATGTCCACTGATTTCAACCCATTTGTTGAAAGGACTATCTTTCTCTATTAAGTTTCCTTTAACACCTTTGTTGAAATTCAATTGTCCATTTAATATTACGTCTAATATGTGAAGATTTAAGAAAAAATAATCATCCAATTATTATCATACCTCCAAAATGAACAGTAGTTCTAATATTGTCAAACTGCCTGTCTGTATCCAATTTTAACTGTTTAAAAATGTCTTCTTATATTTGGATTTTGAAATCAGAATCTAGGGTCCACACATTTTATGTGGTTGTTATGCTCCTTAAGTATCTTTTAATCTGTAATAGTGTCCCCTCCTTTTCCATGTCATCTTTGAGTTGAAGAAACCAAGTCATTTGTCTTACAATATTTCCCACATTCTGGATTTAGACGACTGCAGCCTTGTGGTGTCACTTAACACATTCTTCCTTCCAATAAACTGGTAGTTAGATGTCAGTTAGACAAGGCTTGGTTGGAATACCGTGTAGGTGGTGTGGTGTACTTCCTATTGTATCATGTCAGGAGGCATAGAGTCTGGGTTGTCTCACTTTTGGTAATGTTAAGATTGATCAGTGTATTCATGCTTTGTAAGCCTGATTTTCATAGTTCTCCATTAATCAATCACCTAATGAGTTTAACCTTCATATTGATGATTATTGTCTAGATCTATTATTTTTTAATGAGTTATAAGTGGTGATTAAAAATTTTGGGTTTTTTTTGGTGGGGGGAATAGAGTGCATGCTTAGCATGCACAAGGCCCTGGGTTCAGTTCCCAGTACCTCCATTAAAAATAGATAAATAAATAAACCAATTTTTTATAGATTATACTACATTTGTAGTTATTATAAAATATTGGCTACATTCCTTGTGCTGTGCAATATATCCTCGTAGCCTATTCATTTTATACATAGTAGTTTGTACCTCTTGATCCTCCATTCCTATCTTGCCCCTCCCCTCTTTGCACTTGTAACCACTAGTTTGTTTTCTATGTCTGTGAATCTGTTTCTTTTTTGTTATAGTCACTGGTTTGTTTTATTTTTTAGGTTCCACATGTAAGTGGTAACATACAGTATTTGTTTTTCTCTGTTTGGCTTTTTTCACTAAACACAATACTCTCCAAGTCCATCCATGTTGTTCCAAATGGCAAAATTTTATTCTTTTCATGGCTGAGTAATATTCCACTGTGTGTGTGTGTGTGTGTGTGTGTGTGTGTGTGTGTATGTGTGTGTGTGTGTGTGTGTGTGGGTGAGTGTATTTTTTGTTGCTGTTTTTCACTTAAAAATTAAAAAAATTTTTTTGATGTATCGTTGATGTACAATATTATGTAAGTCTCAGGTGATTCAGTTTTTGTGATTCAAAATTTTTAAAGCTCATACTCCACTTATAGTTATTATAAAATATGGGCTATATTTCCTGTGTGGTACAATATATCCTTATAGCTTTTAAAAAAATACTGTGTTTTGAAG